CTTCTGGCATGCTTTCATGGATTTCCTGAGTAACACAACAACATCAATAGCAGGAAAGGGGGGAGGGCAGAAGACAAACTAATGTAGAACTTTAGAAAATCAGTATTTCCATTTCTTTTTTCCCTTCCATACAGACCCTTTACTCAAATGTTAATCCTATTTTAGACACTTTGTAGATCTAAAATTGTTTACATTAGAAACAATGTGTAAACTAGGTGTCATACCGTACAGAAGAACACTACAGAGCTCCTCACATGAATACATATAAACTTGGTTTAAGAGTAAGAAGAGTAAGAAGTTATGAAGTATAAACATTATACACAGATTTTTTTCTTAAAATGTCTTGAGGCAAAAACATTAATGTAAAAATGAAATAAAATGAAGATTGAAGATTCTTCTTAAACCTGCATTTTTAAATAAGTATTGAAATACAGGGAAATAAGGACTCCTCATGCTGACAGCAATTATCTGTTCACAAAACATACTGCAGTCAGGTCTGATAGAAGTACAGAGCTTTCTTTAGTAGTGATATGCTGAAATTCATGGATGCATATGAACTGGAAAGTAGAGTGTACACATTCATAGAAATATCCTTTACATTATTATAAAGTGATATGCTCCTGCAATCCCAATGAACTGTCAGGAATAGAAAAAAAATATCCAGACAATACTGGAACTGTAATTCTGAATTTATACTGTTTACTCTGGCATGTATCCAGTCCCTGCAATATATCCATGCTCAGCAGAGCCAGTATTATGAAATCATAAAATGGAAATTTAAAATGTAAAATAGCACTTTCAGTCACTAGGTGGCATTAAACCGATGTCTTAAGACACACTTGCAAATTGTGGACACTGTGCTTTCAGAGTCGCACAGTGCTCCATTTATTTGAGGTCTTCTTTCCTTTGCTTTCTATTCAGTTTCCTTATATGTGAGTTATGGTGTGATGAGTACTAGTGAACACACTTAATGTATCTAGAATTGTCCAGTATCTGATAAAATGAGGGAAAATCCAACTTGTCTTCAGATTATATTGCATTTTATTTCTAATCTCTGCCTCCAAATGAGTCATATGTAAACAGAAGGATTGATGTTATATTGTCATTTCAAAGAAAAAAAAATCTTTTTAGGGCATTTGTTTTATCCCATCCCAATCCATAGCTAATAATAAAAGTTCTCATTCACTTTTTAATCACAGCAGATAGATTCAGATCATTCTAGCTTATTGACAGCTAACTCAGACCAAAGTTTTTACCATGTTGTATATATAAAGCTTTGAGGGATAGAATGTTTTAAGTTCCTTCTCTTGTGTACAGAAAAGCATATCTGGAAATTGCATGTCCTTCTACCATGGTTGTTTTGACTACAACTCAGTAGATTCATAGAGTAGATTTCATGTCCTTTGAAAAGAAGAGCCTGACATAAAAATGGAGGAAGGATCCTCTTGAGTTCTAGCAAGAAATCACAGAATCACAGAGTAGTTGAGGTTGGAAGGGACCTCTAGAGATCATCTATTCCAACTCCCCTGCTCCATCAGTCATGTCCAGCACAATGCTCAGGACCCTGTCCAGATGGCTATGAAATAGCTCCAAGAATGGAGACTCCACAGCCTCCTATGCAACCTGGTCCAGTGCTCTGTCTCCTCAGTCAAGAAGTTTTTCTCATGTTCAGACAGAACTATCTGTGGTTCAGTTTTATGCAACCAGTTGAAAATTGTACTTATTGAATAGTTATTAACCAAGGTCTGTCAGAATAGAAGGATGTATTAAATAGGAATCTGCTGTTTGCCTAAAAAAAAAAAAAAAGAAAAAAAAAGGAATACGGAAAAAAAAATGAGATGATGCAAGGGAAGAATTTGTTTCCTGCTGTTTTATGAAAATAACCATGATCAAAGCAGCTCAGCAAGCAGTGGACCTTCATGAATTCAAGATATAATATGGCAAATATTTGCAGCATTTCTAAAAAGGCAGGAATACAGACTTAAGATTTTASATTGTTACCAAGAACTACCTATAGTCAGATTTGAATGTAAATTGAATCTTTCTTCTTCCAAATGCTGAAGATATTCTTTTGTTGTAGTTCCAAGCCTTAGCTTCRTTCTATTTCTTTTTGATTCTTGAAGTTACTTGTAAAAAGTAGAAACTACTTGAAATCATAATCTAAATCAATCATCATCAATCATGATCTAATCAATCATTCAGTCTTCTTTGCATTGCTCCACTCCAAATATAACTAAGAGGTACRTAAGGAGCGCACCTTTTTCACTTGTTCTTTATAAGTTCTCTCAGAAACAGTTTCTTTGACCTGCCCTAAGCACTAGTAAAATACCCCCTATCTAGTCTAAATATGATTTTTTGTATCATATGTCATTTTCACCAGGATTTGGCATTCATTTGCTTGCCTAATCAACCTTCTATAGAGATAAGAATTGGACCTAAATCTGTTTTCGTCAGGAATTCATATGGTAAAATTTCAACTGTCTCGTTTGTTTAATAGCAAATCAGGAAATCAGACTTAAAATAAAATATTTTTCATTGCTACTAATACTGGACAACCTGTCATTGTGACTAGGCACTGCACCACACAGAAGCTCCATCCATGCATAGAACTAGGTCTTCTCTACTCCAATTCTCTTGGACATTGATCAATTATACATTTCCCTCAGCATCTATTCCCTATCCTCCAAACAAAATAAACCAATGATTTCCAAGCTGTACTCTTGGGCTTGAAAGTATCCTTTTCGATGCTTTGATCTCGGTTCTTTAGACTGAACCCTTACGTGTGATTCCACAGATATTTTATACCACTAAGTCCCACCTAACGCCAATGAACCTCCTCTCTTACACATATCATATCTCATGAGTCCATGTGAAAAACATGGTTCAATAGATGTACTGAAAGGCAAAAGCAACTTCTGTATAATAGAAGTTGAACAGAATAATAGCTTCTCCCTAAATGTGGTGATGCTGCATCCTGTATTACTGCTTAAGCGCAGTTTGCACAGGTATAGAAGTCCTTTAAATGAACTGGCAAAGACTTTCTGCACTGAGTAGTATGGATGTATGTTTGGAGCTACACTGATACAGAGGGCTGGTTAAGCTGTAGGAAGGCAATTTGGACATACATAGCTAAAATTTCACATGCATAATTATCTTCACAGGTAGAGCAGAGGTGACATGTGCACAAGCACCGATTCCCTGCGCGTATGTGGCAGTTTGTCTCAGCTTTTGTGTTGTGTACCATGTCTTGTAGCATTTCCAGACATCCTGGGCTGAAGGACATCTGCAGTCTTCAAGAGAGAAAGAAGCAAAACGTAAGGCAGAATCTACTGCCAAAGTCAGTAATGTTGAAAGGCCTGTGCTTTTAACACAGCAATCTGGAGCTCTGGAGCCCAGAGTGCTCTTTAATTAACTGAACCTATTTCTTTACAGGCTACATGCTATTGCCCTAGATAGTGTTAMCAATAACGTTTGGACTTCCAGTTCTCACCATCACCAGCACTGGCTCACTCAACTCTGCCCAAAGAAATAACTTTCTTGGCAGTGAAGTCAGAGTCAGTGACAACTCATGGCACTTTGCAGCCCCTTCTGCTCTCAAGGGTTGTTATAAGAACATTATGGAAGTACAAAAATGCCTACAAACAACTTTCATCATTTCAATATGCTTTACAACTATCATCATTTATTTTGAAAGGCATGACTACCCAGACAGTTGAACAGCTGTTTTAAAATTTAAATATCACATCAGTCAAATTATAATGTACCAAACTTAAGGGAGAGTATCTGTATCAAACTTAACTTCCCTTAATAGTGTTTGTATTAGATAATGACAAGCCTTTTCCTTTCCATTGTAATTCCATTTAAAGAAGCTATAATTTATCTATGGAAGTTGTGGTTGTTAATTATCACAAGGACTGAACTGTTTTTGTACAGCATTGTGAGATCCCAATCACTCTTCACTGCTTGTAGACAATTTAGGGACAGCAGGAAAATCTATTGTAGACGCCAGCAATAGTTCAACAYACACTGAACACATTTTCTGAGAAATCTAAGATTATTATAGGGAAAAAAAGGTGATTTCTTCTTCATAAGAAACTGTTTCATTGTAAGCTCTCCAGACATGTTGACCTGCCCAACCATATTGAAAAGAGGTGAAAAGAAGAAAAAAATGAAAAAGGTTAAAATAAAGTAATAGTACTGTAATTGTATAACGATATCAAAATTATTTCTATTTTAGGTTTGCAGAAAAGTGAGAAATTTGCAGCTACAAGGAATCAATTTCTTCAGTAGCCTCCTCAGAATGACAAACGCATCTCAGGTTTATGATTGTTTTAACTATTGCTCCAGCTTCAAACAACTTGCATAAACGAAAGATWTTACAACTGTCAAAATTACTTCTTTTTTCCTGTCAAACCCCAAACTTCAGTACACTTCAAATTAAGTACAAAGAAATTTTAAAAGTCTATAAAAAACAGTAAAGCCACATACAGGCCTGAGTATATCAGTGTTTGATGGCACTTCGAAGTGCCATTACTAAGCTTCCTTTTTGAGAGACTGAACTTGTTTAATATCAGGAARTGCCAACATTTCACATATAGCAGAACTGCAGTTGTAGAATATAGGAATAAAGACRAGCTGTTCTTCAGCCTCACATTGTGATTACCTAGTTGTCTTCTCATATGCCACAAATAAAGGAGATACAGTGTAACTTTCAATGTTAGCTGTCCCATAGAAATTCCTTTTAATTTTAACCATACAACACAACTTAGTGGTAGGTATGGCAAATGAATACGCTATAAACTGAGAAGTATAAAACCCATGGTAGTTTTAATATTCATTTATTAATTAAATAACAGCATAAATTCAAGAAATTAAAAAAAAAAAAAAAAAAAAAAAAAAAAAAAAAAAACTTGCCTGAACCTGTGTTGGGGAGGGAGAAAATACTCTGTCACTCTTTCAGTCCCAAGTTGCTACTATTGGACCTTTACTCAGCAGCAAAGTCACTCTTCCTCTTGACAAGTCACTCTCAGCAGCACAACAGCAGACTGACAAAAACAAAACAAATGTTAGATGCAAGAAGCTACCTGCTCTGAGTACCTCATGCACCTACATTTCCTATATAAGGAAACAGTACAAACCTAAAGCTTTCTTAAAAAGACAGCTGTTTCCCAATAACTCCTAGAAATGCCCAGTCTCAAATACAGGACAGGAAAGATTACTTCTAACATTACAGAGATCAGTGTTAAGAGTTACTGGAAAGGATCTTAACTTTTCTCCAAGCAAAAGGAGAAAACAGGCACTGTAGAGCACAGAAGCCAGAGAAAAGAAGGGAAAATAAATAGGAGTGTACATAAAGTACATAGACTTTGTTTTGGAGAGTGTAGAGGAGATAAATCATTGCAGTAATTTTAATATGTGTTTTTTAGAAAAGATTATGCATCTTTGAGTTTCAGGTTCCCTTATACACATACAGGAAAAACAAAAGCAAAATAAACAAAAAACACTGCTCAGGTCATTTGATTCATTAAAATCAATTAATTATCATCCTTCCGCCAGAATATACACTTGAATAATATGATGCCCCACTAGCTTTCATGGTTGTGTCATAAATTGTCTAGCTGCCAACCAGAATGCAGCCACATACTTACAGAATTATCTATCTCACTACAGTTTGACTTACAACATGGCTTCAGGTATTGAAAAATCTCAAATGGCAGTCGTCCAAACCTTGCCCTGTCTGTTCTCAATTGGCCCAAAAGATAACGCTCTATATAGCCTAGGCTGACTTTTGTGTCCTCACACAGGACACAAAATCTAGGGCAGGTGTTTGGTCAAAAAGAGACAAAGTTGGCACTTATTAGTATTCCTGTTGATAGTTTACAAAACATTTACCTTGAGAGTGTTGTAATTAAACTAAGCAGCAATGAGGAGAGTGATTTCAGTTATTTTGAATAGGAACTCATCAGAGGCAAATGAGTTTGAAGAGAGAAACTGAGCAGACAGCATGTTGTTCCTGAGAATCCATATGTATAAGGAATAGTGGGGTAGGGTGGGGAGAGGAAGGGTAGCGGGCAGCAGCTTTACAGGAGACATTTGAAGGTTAACATTGCTTCAAGGCTTCAGTTGATTSCCCATTTGCCATTCCCATTTCTCACCAATACACATATTCAATTCAAACAAGCAGCTGGTATAATACTTGGAATATTGAGCTCTTGAACACAGTTGCCCGTTAACACTGTACACAAGACCTGCCCTGTCCAGCTATAGTTGGGCTTATTAAATAGATCTTGCATTACAGCCTGCTTATTTCRTTTTTACTAAATGGCTTATCAGTTACATAAACACCATCATCCCATGTTTGCAATAACTCGTACTTGCTACCTTGAGGTAAAAGGTAAAGCAAGAAGGAGGTTTTCAGATGTTTTGACCAACAGCTAAATCAGCTATGTTCCTTTAGGTCTAGCCATAACTATATACATAGGCAAGCGGGATAGCAGAGAAAGCCCTTTACGGTCCCTCAGAGTACACACAGTGCTTTATTACCTAGCACTTAGGCTTCTGACAGAACTTTTAGTCTTCCGTAGCCTTACCGTACACTGAGAAAACATACACTCTGATACCTGCACCTTGCACCTCTTGCTTTTTGCCCAACGGGCTTTCCCATTAAGAACTTTCTATTTTCCCTTCTTTGTTCCCACTTTTTTTTTTAATTTATTTATTATGAAAAGGGATTCCATTCTCTCCATTGGTTACACTTGGTTCTCCAATCAGGGCAACCTAATCAGGAAGACCACCACCTTGTAGGAACTTCACAAAATCCGGCCACCAGCTCAAGTAATGATCACCCAACATCCCTACTACTTCCTGCAATCTTCATCCTGCCTCATCCTACTCAGATAAACCCCTTCCACACTGTTTCTGCTCTCCTACATAAACCTTGAAAGATCTGCCACTCTCCTATCTTGTGCCTCTTTCTTTAGTTATCCACACAACACTCATATATTACCTCGCCTTCAAAACAGATCCACCCCACTTTGGATTCTCCCTGTTTGCCTGGAAATGTTGTACTGACTCATCATGAACCAGGCAGTGACCTGGCAGGTATAAGATGTGACTTCTGTAGCTCTGGTGCTGATGTTGGTTAAGTGTTTCCATATTTCTTCTTTCATCATGTCTCTGCTGGAATTTCAGAGAGTTAACAGCTACTGCATGCAGCACAGTTACTACTGGATCTTGTTTAAGACATTAAAAGTGACAGTATTAGAAAAAATAAGACAAAAGACTCAGTGCTGCTGTTGTGTTGCATTATTACTCTTGCTCAACCACGGGCATTCAGTTTATTGCTTCCTTGCCCCAAATTACTAAGGAACACCTACTGCAAAACATGAATCCAGTTTAGACTAAAAAAAAAAGAAAAAAAAAAAAGAAAAAAAAATGGACAACTTTCTTCAATTTTTTTTTTTTGTGGAAGTAAGTATATCACAAGGGTCACGAATAACATGAGTTAATACCAATTATTTCAAGTGGATTCTCACTGCTAAAAAGCCTGCACACATATAACATCAATTTTATTTCAAAAAGATCTCTTCAAGAGAGATAAAAGTCCTAGCTGAGTGACTGCTATGATGTCGTGGTAACTCTAACCTTGCAATGCTCCTGAATGCAATAATGAATGTATGGCAAAGCAGGGGAGAAGTGGTTCTTAGCTASAGCCAACAACAGGACACAAGGAAAGATTAACACCATAGAAATCAAAATTTTTTTTCTGTGCTTTCATCCACCACAGCAGCTTACAGATAAGCAAAACTGTAAGTGGCTCATCACTAAGTACTATCAATATRATTAAAAGGCATATTTTACCTGAATTATCTGTTATTATCCGTTCATCTGAAACAAAATAGGAAAAAAAATTACAGATCTGTGAAAATAAATGTAGTGGTTTAAAACAGCATAAAGCATGTAGCTAAATGTTAAAAAAAATAAAATACAGACGAGCTCCTTTTTCTACTATGAAAAGGTGTTCTTTCATAGACAAGTTTATGATTCAGCATATATTACATGGATACTGCAAGATCTGGTGATCATCCAGTTCTAAACTGACACTTGACATTGTTCATTTCACCACATTAAACTCTTCAGACCGATAACTCCCTTTACACTGTTTCCACGGAAGCTGTAGTGCAGTTTCCATGGCTGGATTCTCTTATGAGGACCACAGTAGCCAGAATGCAACAGACATAACTAGAGGTAGATCAGAGGCTGGTTTATCAATATGCAAATGGTTTCTACTCACACAAATCAGCAAAGAGCAAGTAGCTAACAAGAGGAGGTCTAATCACAATTGCTGTAGAGTCTCCATCTTGGGGAAAAKAAAAAAAAAGTCTCTCAAAAACTGCCTTTTCAGAAAGTTTTATCAGGTTTTATGGAAAAATATCGGTCCTTTTCTGTTCTGTGTGTTCTCACAGCATGTAGTCCTTCACAACAAGAGCACCAGGAGAATGATGAGCTCCTCTTTTGTTTTGCGTTGCAGGGATGCTGAACACACAGAGCTCCTTCAGCTTGGCAGCTGTCTGAAGGGTAGCTGCTGCATACTCCTAGAGGATATTCAGGCACAGACCTAACTTATGATTTATCCAGAACACATTTACATTTTACAGAAGTGTTTCTTGCATGAGAGATGTTTGTCATTGCTGTGCATTACACACTGGAGATGACTACAGCGGCACTAAGTGCATCAGCAGCCTGCATGCCCCTCACTACCCTGACCTGGCATCTTCGCCCATGCCCCTTGTCCGCAGGCCAAGGAGCTCTGTTTAGAATAAGCCTGGAGCTCTCAGTCATAGCCACATGTGTCTCCAGTCCTGTCCCTTTGAAGGAGAGAGACCTCTTGTTGTAGGTAGCTTGTCTATCGTCCTGGCTGCTGGCTGGACATCTCAGACTTGTATCACAGCCTTATCTCCAGCTCCACCTCCCATGCCAGCTCCAGCTCCCATACTGGACATGCTGGATGCATTCTGGACCTGGCAGATTATTCTCCCTTGAGTGGGACTGTCACTGGAACCTAGCACAAGCGTCCTGCTCCGTTCACCATGTTCGGATGCTGTGGGACTGCCCTCTCATTTGTCCTTGTCCACAGCAGCATGCAAGTGGTGTTTGGCCAGGGATGAGATGTAAGCTGAGACATCAAACAGTCCACTTAAAATGAAAAGTAAGATAACAAGAGAAACAAATCAGCACATATTTGCAGAAAGCATTTAATGGAGATCACTCTTAACCCTTTTTCCCCTCTTCTATTACACAAAAATTCTTCCCCTTTATACATAAGGCAGCCTAATTAACCCTGTTACCTCTACTGTAACTAATTTGCATGACCCCTAAAACACAGATCAAAAGCTTCCCTTGGCTTTTTATGTAAGGGCTGTTGGGCTTGAACACTCCAGTTAATGGAACAGCTTGGGCAGAGGATCACAAATCAGATCCAGCTCTTCCAAGTACACAAAGCTGGCATCTCTGCTTATTTTTTCTTTAATCAACATAATATTTCTGCTGAACAAGTCAACTGGGGATAAATTACTTTAAAGAAAAATATATTATTTGAGGAAAGATGTCCCAAGAAACTAWTTTAGTCTTATCAAAGAAGATTACCATGATCTTGTACTACATTTCACTTGCAGATTTAACTATTCACCTGCCAATAAGCTGAGACCTGAAGCGTCTCAGATAAGTTAAACTGTCTGGAAATGAAGCACCACATAACAGCACAGGCAACGCATAAAGTAGCACTTAGACAAATGCCAAGCTTCAATTAAATATA